CCGCATTTACGATACGAAGACTTCTTTCTTCGAAAACCAACCTTTTGTTCGATTTTGTTCGGTACTTATAAATGACGTGTGACAAGGAATATAATCTGGTTAACAGCAATTTCATCATTTAATTTGCTTGGATCACTTTAATTACATCATATTTCAGAAAGAAAACAGTAGAAAAACTGCAACGCTGATAATCGGGGTAGACTTAGAGTGCGAATGGATTCAAGCTGCCTGAGCTGCCCTGAGTGATCAATCSCTTCAGCAATAGTTCTTGCATATAAATGAGATTTCGCACGCGTGTCTACCACAAATTATCGCTCTAGGACTCCGCTAGAATCATGTGACCCTGAAAGTGATTGGAGCTTGGGACGTGGTTCGGTTGTCCTCRATTGTCTTAAAAGTTCGATTTCCGAACTTTCGATCTTGTTCGATTGAGAAGACTTTGCTGTGAGTTCGATTGTGTTTGATAGCCGAACAAGTCGAAAATCAATCTAACGATTGGTGTTCGATTGAGTTCGACTACCGATTGTTCGATTGATTACGCCGGGATTAAAGAGTCAAGGAAAGATGCAAGTTGAAGTAAAATAATAAAAACAGTCACTAAACCTTTTTTTGCTGTTGTAAGTAAACAGAAATCGCTTATGTACAATCGTCAACATATTTTGATTTTTTCGTAGACTCGTAGGTCAAGACATTCATTAAAAAAAGCACTTTTCATTAGTATTTAAAGCGAGAGTCAGATTTCAAGCTTTGGAGGAATTTTCAAAGTCATGGCAGCATTGAGCAAAAAAAAATCTCATAAAGTCGATCGAGCAAGGAAGAACAGTCGTATTTAGYAGTGACTTCGTTAAGAAAACAATAAATGATGGATGTACGTAGATCGTAGAAAAATTGAGAGAAAGCTGAAATGAAGAACAATTCAATAATGCAATCTGGAAGAAAGTTTGGCCACTTTGGTCATCCAAATAAGTAGTTCTGAAAATAAAGTAAATTGATCGTCGGACATCAAAAACATGCGAAGSGATGTCCTTGTATTTGGTTAATCTGTGAAGGTACAAATCTGAGGTGATATTTTATATTGCATCATGTGAAAAAGTCATACGACACTAGGTCAATTAATT